AGGGGAACAGTCACTAGCAGAAATGGATGTGGGCTTGGCCATATCTGCTGTGTGCAATAGTGCTGTTAGGCATGTCTATACCTGTGTATGGTTTTACATATGTTGTTGTGTGGGGAAAGTCTGTGAGAATAGGAGTATGTGCATGGGCGTACAATTAAGTATGTCAGTTAGAATGCAAGTGTTCTATATGTGGCTGCATTTGATCAGGACTCAGCATGTATAATAGAATGTGTGCTGTTTATGTGCCTGTGTGTATATGTTTGTATGTATATGTGTGTGTGTTATGTGAATCTGAGCCCATCTAAAATATATAAGTTAAAGAAAAACATGAGCCACCTTGGATTTTTTCTAACTTCCTAGGTGCAGCCAGAAATAGCAGAAAGAAAGAGGTCACATGCCCTCCCCATCAAAAGATCATCTCTTTCATTGAAGATATATTTTTGTGATCCCTTTCAAATAAGCACTGTGTGAGATGTGGTTAATGAACTTGAGCATAGGGCAGATTTTTGAATGGCCAGGCTTATTATTGCAAAATACCTTTTTCTTTTTTAAACATACACATGACAAATAACAATATGAAAGAAATTTCTGTAATGTGGCTCACATCAGATGTCTATGTGTGTGTGTATAGATGCTAAGAAGTGTCTGTACTAGGGAGCATAGGAGTGGTTGTTGTTTATTGTGGTATATATTTATATCCCATTAGCAATGTCCATTAACCTTCTTTGAAAATGATCTGAGATTTTAGGGTTAAAAAAGCTTTCAGTCTGGTGGTTAACACAGTTTGTGTTGTACTGAATTTCACTCTCTGGCTAGGGACAGATATTATACATAAACCAGATTAAGTAATCAGAAACTGGTTTAAACCTGTAACCAAGCATAAATTCAGTGCACATAAACTAGTTGCAAAATGGTTGAAACTGGTTTAAGATAAACCTAGTTGAATGTAGTATCAGACTTAACTGATTTGGGTCAAACCGATTTATGCAGTGCCTGTCCCAGACCCCTTCCTGGTTTAAGTTAAACCAGAGTCCCACAGCATCCCAGATGCTTTGCAGGCCTGGGCTGGGCTGGGCTGTGCGCTCTGCTCCAGAGAACAGAGTTGGCCCTGCCCCTCTGCTCCCAAGCTAGAGCTCTGGCAGAGATTGTAAGCACAGCAGCATCTGCCTGGCTTCCCCCTGCCCAACAACCTCTCACCATTTGCTGCTCAAGCAGGGATCCCCCCATCCTCGTCTCCCATCTCCCACAGCATGGACTCTAGCCCCACGGACCCTAGGCATGTGGTATGCTAGCCAATGCTGAGTGGTGTCTGTGTGTATATGTCTCCAATTTCACTGGGACGGGCAGAGAGAACAGTGTCTGCTTAGGGCTTTTTGGAGCTAATCAACAGGTCAGTTGGCAATGTCCCTCTGTTCCTTCCTTGGAAAAAGCTGTTTAAGAAGAGCTTGAACTAATAAGAAAAGCTTTTGTTTTCTTGATGGGGTATTGTTTTCAGCTCCCTGCTGGCTTCCTCACCTGTCAGGTTGCAGACAGTATGAAGAAGCAGGGAGAGGGAGATTGAAAAGGTCAGTATCATCAACAGATGCATACACTGCATACCCCTCTTTGCCTTGGAGTGCTAGCCCAGAGCTAGGGGCTGACAACACTCCTGCCTCTTGAGCAGTGAGCGGGGAAAAGCCTGTGATGGTGCAGGCAGGGTGGGGGTTTACACCCCTCCCTAATCAAGGTGTCTTGCTGGGGCCTGGCTATGCCCCCCTCAGCTCAGCACTGTAGAAGGGAAGGGAGGGCTGCTCTAGCACCCTCCCCCCCCCCCCCCCCCCTTTCGCCCGGGGGCTGCTCTAGTGCCCCCAGCTTCTAGCCTGAGCCACTGCAGATATGTGCCTGCATTTCCTCAGTCCAGAGGGAATGTCTGAACAGGTGCAATTTGGTTCAACCTAGGCAAGTTAGACTAACCTACAAAGATTAAACCAATTCAGGCTCATGCTTTTTGAATGTCTGTCCCTAGCCTCTCTCTCTCTCTACACCATCTCTACACCAACAAGAGGCCCCTCTCTGAACCTGTTTCCGTTTCTCCCATGTATAAGGGCTTCTTCTCGCCACCTTGTCTCTGCAGCCCAGGTTCTTATTTCTTATTGAAATACCCACACTTCTAGTTTCAGATTGTCTCATTTATGACTTTTCCAAGCCCATTCATTGTTTTTTCAGCCTTCCTCAGCCTTAAGTACATCCCTTTTCAGCACTCTTTACTTGCCTGATTGTTTGGGGTTTTTTTATTAAAAAGGATTCTAGCAAGAACTGAGAGCTAAAATCTGATCTAAATTGAAATTGATGGGGAAATGGATACCAGAGTGATGTGGGTTGGAGGGTAGGTGGGTGAGCATGTGCATGGGTGTCTGTGCTTGGATTTTTACTGAAAATCCAGGGTCAAATTCATCCCTAATGCAACTCTACTGAAATGGATCTGTGCCTTGTCTGTTCACCTCAGTCAGCACCATCACTTGGTTAACAGAAAACATCCCCTGAGCTGTGTGCTGCTCTTTGTTATATAATGACATACATAGCTCTGTTGCTTGTTTCTGTTTTCAGTGAAACTGTGCATTGTGTGTGTGGGGAGAAGAGAACAGGCACTTTTAGTTTAGATTTATCTAGAAACTTGGCTTTTGCTTGTCTCTACTGTAAGGAAGGATGATGACTTCATAGAAGGCATCAGCCAGCCTACTCATCCCCATAGGAGGCATTCACCTGAGAATAGCCCTGACCTATTTCTTGAACTTCAGTATGCTTTTCCCTGAGCATAGACTTTGGGATTTGGCCCCTAAGATTCACCATTTATGCTGGTTTCATTTCAGGTCTCACTGCCAGTAATTCTGGTTCTGTTGTTTTGTAGAAGTGAGAGAGGGAGGGAGAGAGAATGTCATTGAACCACTTAGGCTAGGGACAGACATTCAAAAAGCCTGAGCCTGAATTGAGTCAATCTTTGCAGGTTAGTCTAACCTGCCTAG